TTTTTTTTTTTTTTTTTTTTTTTTTGACAAAAGTGAAAATACCAAAGAGGTTTTTATTTAAAGTAAAATTTCAATCAATGAAAACCCAAATGGGTAGCAGAACAGACCCGGCACCTGTGCAGGAACTCTGACCTGAAATCAGACATTCACAAGTCCCGACACATCTGAGCAGCCTACACCTGGGCATCCAGTAAATTTCCTCAGCACAAATGTCTGCCACGGGATGGGCTCGTCTTGGAGGACCTCAGCCATATTTGACCTAGAGTTTTTCAAGTATTTGGCTCCGTGATAATATTAGAAATCAGTTGTTTTTTGGGACAAGGCACTGCCCCTTCCCTTCCTTCCTGGTAAAAAATTCAGCCCCACGTTCCCTCTCCTTTTAGAGACCTGGAGAATACCGCAGGCTTCAAAGCTGATCTGAAGCTGACTTTCTCAGTCTGAGGGCTCATTTTCTCAGTAAAGGACCCAGGAGAAGAGGCTTTCTTCCATGAGCCTGTTTGGGTTTTTTAAACCATGTAAAAATTTTACACTTTAGAAATATTCACCTCAGTCGTCCAGCATCTACAATGTTCCTACCCTCAAGGCAGGCGCCCTCCACCTTTCAGACTCAAAGCCCCAGAAGTGTGTTCAATCACCCAAAGGATGAACAGCTTGTTTCCAGAGGATGATTGAGCATTACCCAGGGCCTCTAAGGGTAACCTGCTCTTTCTAAATGTTCGGGTAGGGTGAAGAGTCTAGCTTTAGAGTAGCAGATCATGGAAATGTTTCTGCCTGTATGGGGGAAATCTGGCATCTTCACGAGTCGCCAACCTCCGCCAGTTGGAAACTGCCCAGCCAGAGTGGTTCCATCCCTCAAGACCCTTTCCTCTAATTTAGCTGGTGCTCCTCTGGTTCTTTGAAGGGCTTGAGAGGGGAGAAGAGGGGTCTGGAAAAGGCATAAAAATTCATTCATGTATCCATTTATTCAACAGCTATTCGTCAGCCTTGCGATGGGCTGGGCACAGTTTTAGGGACCAGGGATAGAGCGGCGATTAAGAGCTGAACTAGGCTAAACAGGAGCATTTATCATGATTATTAACATCATCATCCTGGTTGTTTGGCAAATAATTAGGCCTAAGTAGAAGGTAGCAGAAGGAAAGATGGGGTGGGCATAGTGAACACTGTTAACAGACCACAGGGTGCGGAGATGGCAGAGCTGGATTCTACGTGGTGGTGCCATAGAGATGAGTTTCGAAGTCAGAAAGAGCGGGGGTTTATCCCACGCTCTCACACTTGCCTGCTAAAGTTGGTACTAAGTCGAACAAAAGTCATTAACCTCTCTGAACCCCAGTTCCCTCTTATGCAAAATACAGGTCATCATACGTACCATGTGTATTGGTTGGAGCTTAAATGAGTTTCTATACCTCGAGCACTTGGCACAAAGTAGGACATGGCCACGCGGTAGGTGTTATGAGGAGAGCCACCACATCTCCAGATAACCCGAGCCAGAAGCAACCCTGGGCCTCAGTTTCCCCCCGCAAAACTTTAAAGAAGGTAAATTGCTTCTTAAGTTCGTTTCCAGAAATCTCTTTGATTCTCACTCTCAGAGAAAACCAACCCAAGTCGAGACTTCTCCTTCACAGGAACTGGGCCTTTTCCCATCGAGCTTTCTACAGCAATTGCCCTAAGCAAAGAAACCAAACGGGGGACTCCAAGGTACAAGAAAACTTCCAGGTCCCCAGAGGGGTGGCTGGGGGAGGGAGGAGGCATGGCACCGGCTCCTGTTTGCTCAAGGCCGGGCTTGTTCCTTGCCAGCATTTGCTCAACTACAAGCAGTAGACAGGTTACTGTTTAACCCTGAAGGGGCTGCAGCTCAGAGCCCAGCCCATCTGCCCTCCAGGCTGTGGGTAAGGGTGGGGTGGGCAGCGGAGGCTTCCCTGAAATTCTTTCACAAGGTTTTGCCCGCAGGGCTGTTTCAAAGTGGCCATTTCAGTGGAAGCCAGACCTGCCGGGGCCAGCTAGGACCCACCTCCTCAGCCGGCTGGCCCAGACCTTCTGCTCACCACTTCCCGAAAAACTAGAAGGCAGGGTGGTGTGAGGACTGAACGCCTGGCTTTGAAGTCAGGGAGAGGTGGGCTCAGAACCTAGTTCCCCTGCTCACTGTAGGTGACCTTGAGCAAGTTCATGTCTGTTTAGCCTAAATCTTTCTGATCCTCACTTTTCCGCCCTGTAAAATGGGAACAACCCAGACGCAGAGGGCCGTGGGCATCAAAAGAGCTTGCGCATGCAGAGAGCCGAGTGGGTACTAAGGAACAATTCAATAAATGTCGCATGACCGTGTGGGCCAGTTTTCCTCTTAGGATCAAATGCCCACCAGCCCCTTTCCTCCGGGAAGACATCATTTCTCAGCACGAGGCACCCAGAACTCTCAACCCACAGAGAAGCCCTGAGGACTACAAGGTCACAGCTGCCCGGTCGCCACCTGGCCCCCAGGAGGCTGAGCGCGCTCCCTGCCGGCACCCCCTTTCCAGGGGAAAGCAGCTGGCAGGGTGAGGGGCCCTTTTTTACAGGGCACAGTAAATGGTTACTGCCCATAAAAGAGTTTATGTGGCTTATTCCTTAGTGAGTCAGAGTTCACTGAGGTCACCCGGGCTTGTGAGGAAAGAAGATCAGTATTTTCAACACAGCTTGGGGCTGCAGGGACAGCGCCCTTAGCGTGGGCACCAAAGGCCCCCCACCTCGGGGCCAGCATGGCGGAAGGCTTTTCACCAAGTCCTACCGACCCCCCCCCACCCCCGGAGGCCCAGCTCTTCAGGTGTAAAATGAGGACATTTGCCCCCCAGCAGCCTTACAGGACTGTTGAAAAGATCAAACGAGATAATGGATAATAAATGTGCCTTGCGAACTGTTTTAAAAAAAAAAGCATTATGGGCTTCCCTGGTGGCGCAGTGGCTGGGAGTCCGCCTGCCGATGCAGGGGACACGGGTTCGTGCCCCGGTCCGGGAAGATCCCACATGCCGCGGAGCGGCTGGGCCCGTGAGCCATGGCCGCTGAGCCTGCGCGTCCGGAGACTGTGCTCCGCAATGGGAGAGGCCACAACAGTGCGAGGCCCGCCTACCGCAAAATAAATAAATAAATAAAAGCATTATTATAATCAACTCACCCACACTCCCATATATGAATATAAACTTTCTATAGTACATGGTGATTACTTTATGGGGTATAAAAAGCAACCCTTTTCATTAAAAAGTAAGGGAATTATTTAATGCTGCTCTTTAAGCTTTCTACTTTACCTTCAGCGTAGCTTTCATTAGTTTCTTTCAAAAGAAAAATATATCAAGCGTGGGAGGTAGAGACTTTGGAATCTCTGAGGCCCGGGTTGGAATCCAGGCTCCCCATCTTTCAGCCACGTGACCTTGAGTATATTACCCTTTCCCAGCTCAATGTCTTCAATGATTTCAAAGGGGAAGTCGGGGAAAGTGGATGTCCTCCAAGCCTAAGGGCTGTTTGGAAGGATAAATAATATCATGGATTTAAAGGGCCCTAGTCCGATGCCAGAACACATGCCCTCATTTAAAATCAGTGTCTTTTCCTTTCTTTAAACGTCAGTTCTCAGGGTGTTGCTCTAACACATTTTACTTCTTCCAAGACTGGAAGAAATAAATTCAGATCCTAAGTAAGAAGGTTCCACCCTTCGCGCCAAAAGCAAGCTGGGAAAAGGATCTATTTGGCCTCATCTCCAGCTCGAGGGAGGATTCTAGGGGTGAAAAGCAGTTTCTCAACCTCAGCACGACTGGCATCTTGGTCCAGGATGGTTCTTTGTTGCGGAGCCGACTTGTGCATTGCAGTATGCTTAGCTGCATCACTGGCCTCTAGATTCTTGCAGCACTTACCCACCAGCCCCCTGAAAAATGTCCCCGGAGCCAAATCACCCCCAGTTGCGAACACCAGTCAAATTAGAGCCTGTGGAGGTGACAGCTCAGGCTTTGATCCTGCTGGTGTGGTGACCTTGGACTGTTTTCTATCCTTTCTGAGCTGCTATATCCTCTCCCAGAAAACAGCCATGGCATTAGTATCACCACCTAGGCTTGCTGGAGGACTGACTGAGATAAGGGACTGCGAGGTCCCCAGCACAGTGCCTGGTCATGCCGGGTAATTGCCTCCTAGGTAGAAATTTAAGAAAATGCACTGGGTATCAGGCCCACCTTTGTCTATTCCCACATGGTATGTATTCCGGGAACACAGCATAAATTACTACTTGGGCTATTAAAAACTGCACACCAGAAAAAAGGTAAATCTTAACTGAAACCGAAAGAGTGAAATGCAACGTGGGTGATGCAGCGATTTCCCATCTGCATCTTATCCCCGCTTCGTGTATACAAACAATCGGAGGGAACTTTTTGCCCCCTGTGATTGTCGTGACTTTCGCATTCGCCCAAGACATCACCCGTTGCACGGCAGTTCTAAAACTTCCACTTTGGGCGACAGAAGTCCGGAGCCACGTGTGGGACCCAGTCGACTACAGTAGACGGTATCTCATGCCAGCCTTCCAGCCAGGACCTATTCCACCTTAGGCAGCAATTCCCTGGCAAACAATGGGCTACTAAGGTTTGACCAGTCCAAACCCATTTTGGCAGAGAGACAGCACCGTGCTGTGCTGGGG